GTGGGCATACAAAAGCGAAGAAAAGGACATCAGCCCTGCTGTCCAAGTTTATAGTCTAATAGAAAGAAGACACATGCACAGATACATATGAGACAGAAGAATAGGGTAAGAGGTTCATACGAAGAGCTATTTTTTTTAAAGGAAGGCAGGAAAGAGAAAGAGAGGAAGGAAGGAGAAAGAGAGAGAGAGAGAGAGAGAGAGAGAGAGAGAGAGAGAGAGAAGAGAGAGAGAGAGAGAAGGAAGGCAGGAAAAGAAAGATCTTTCTAAGATCAAGGAAGTTTGGCTGGAGAAGATGGCACCTGAGCTGGACCTTGAGAGAAGGTTAATATTTCAACAGGTAGAAATGTAGTTGGGGTGTGTTGTGGGCAGAGGGGACAACCTTTAATATCGAGGGATTGCAAGTCATTGCTAAAAGGAACAGTTTGTGAAGGGGAGGGATGGTAAGTGATATTGAAAAGGAACACTGCTAACAGGCTGGGGAGGGCTTTAAATGCCAGGAAATCTTATAGTCGTTGAAGGCTTTGAACAGGAGAGTGACTCAATCAGACCTATGCATGAGTAAATGTATTTTACCAGCTGTAGGAAGGTTGTATCAGAGAGAAGAGAGACTCGATTTAGGGAGACGAATTAGGAAGCTATTACACCAAGTCCTAGAAAGAAATGATGAGACCTTGTATTAGTATACAAAACAATGTTTTCTTTTTTTCAACTGCAAATGGAAAAGGGGTGTGTGTGGAGCCTCTGGCTGAAGAGCACCCACAAAAAATGGCAAACACTCTTGGCATGTGAATTAGACTTGCCAGCTTGTTCTTTCCCCCTCATTTTTATTCTTCTTTAGAAGGCATGACTATCACAGAGGAAGGGAACCTTGGAAAATGTAGGTGATGGAAATACAAAAGAGGTTAATGAAAATAATTTTTAAAAATACACTACAAAAGAAACCCCACAGTGCAACTCACCACTCTTCCAGAAGCCTTGTTGGTTGGTAAAGGGAGCCAAATGGAAATCTGCATTAATCTAGCACATTCAGTCCCTTCCACAAATCTCTCTTCCTCTTAGTGCAATTCACCAATCCCAACTAAAATGTGTGTGTGTGTGGTTTTTGAGGGGGGAGGATTGATACTGCTCCATGCAGGGTGTGTGTAGGCATCACACCCTGGGTGAGCAGATGAATTTTTTTTGTCTTTCCTTAGGAAACATCAGAAACCAATAGGTAAGCAGTCAAATTTACACAGCAGTTGGAGGCTTAGAGAGCTTTCCTCACAACAACCCCATGAGGTAGGTCCTTCCTATTATCACCTTTTTACAGGTGAGAAAACTGATGGAGAGATAAAGTGATCTGTCCAAGGTTGCTCAGTCTGTGCCCCCAGCCTGGCCCTCAAACTCTAGACTCGAACGTCTACAAGGAATCTTAATGGGACCTCCACTAAGGTCTTTTGTAAAGCGCTACAAGTCAGTTAATGCAATAACTAATTAGGGTATCGGAGAAAAGGAGGTTAAGGAGGGCTTTGAGAAATACAAAAGGTAATGGCCTAATGAAGTCCCAGTAGCAGCAGCAGGTATAGGCACAGCAAGGTCAAAAGACCCAATAAAAGAGCTGACGTTTTCTCTGGACCTTTCAAAACAAGAAATATTTGCTCTCTTCATTGCAACATTACCAAAAAAAAAAAAAGGTAACAGGTGCTGGAAGCCTAGATCTACTCTAAGCCATCAATGAAGAGTGGAGTGAAAAAGAATTTCTCCCAAACATACAATCTAGGCCCCCCCCATACAAATTAATGCTTCCCAAAGCTTAATGAGGTCAAGGACGCAAACGCCCAACCCCCTGGGATTTTGAATGGGCCTGAATTATTTCCACATCTCTGCAGTGTCTTAGTTCAGTTGCATGTAATTCTCCACTGTGGACATGAGAGGGCATTCCTGATTCAATTCAGCTGCTCACTAAACGCTTAGAAAGGACCTCATCCTATTTCAGAGGGAAAAAAAAAAAAGCCAAATTCCGTGCCTCTCCGGGACATAGCTGGTTGAAGAGAAATGAAGCAGTGAGTTCTCATTTTATTTGCAGAGTGAAGTGACACAGAGGAGAAATCCCCTGGCCTTGCCTGCCTATCCTTCTGATTCACTTCAACGGCTGCTGTTGGTTCTGTGAGAAGTATGGCTTGTGGCCTGTACTGGGCACTCAGGACTAGCTTGTCATGTATTGACTTAGGAAGGCCTTCTTCCATAAAGCACTTGATACTAAACAAGCAATAAAACGAAAAATCATTATCACTTCGGAGCAGGGGCTACAATAAAAGAACTAATACAATAAAATGTCTTTAAGTGATCTTTAATTTTATGAACTCCTTAAATCAGGCTTTCTAGAGGTCTCATTAGAACAGCAAGCAAGAAAACCTACCAAAAAAGGGAGAGAGGGATAGGCAGTTAGTGGTTATCAATTTGGAAGAATCCATTGCCTGCCTATCGCCAATCACCTAAAGTACTCTGCATCCTCCATCCAACCGCTTCATTTATTGTTACCTATAGACTGTGCATAGATTGTTTTCTCCTTATGAACACAGAAAGACCACAGCACTTGGGACTCAAAGTACTTGGCTTCCCACCGGCAGAGAAAGGGCTTGGAAACAAATACCACTACCACCCCACAATTGCCTTAAAGAAGGGTGCCAGAAATGAAATCCAACTGGCCAGTTTTCATGGAGAAGTGCCCAGGTCTTCTTCAGAGGTCTGAACAGCATTTCCCTAGAGAAGGGTTCCTCAAAATGAAATCCAAAAACAAAAAGCTAAGAAAGACCTTTTAGGTCACCAGTATTCAATATTTCCATTGTCTTTGGCCATAGATTTCATGGGGCTTCTATTCACTATGGCTGGAAACAGGGTTTGAGTGGCTCTACATAAGGTAGCCAATAATAAGCTCACTCCTAAAATATTTCCATCCCATCCCCCAGCTAATGCAAGTGTATATATTTTGCATAACAAGAAAAGGTCAGCTGAACTACATCTCAGAAGCTTCTTGGGAAAGCATTGTTAGAATCTGCAAGAGGGGGGGAAAAGGCAGTAGAGTTATAAATAGGAATAGGGACTGGTCCTCCTTGAGCACAATTCTTTTATAAATGCAGGTCATCACCTTTTTGGTCTTAAGAGAGTAGCTAAGTGTTAAATCACTTGGCCACTGTCACAGGGCCAGTTTGAGGTCATGGTTGGCCTTGAACTTGGCTTTCTGGGTTGGAGGCCAGCTCTCTCTCCTCTAAATCACACTGCCTCTCCAAAACTCTGAAGAATAATCATTAATTAATAGTAGGTATAAAGAACTTAACCACGGCACAGCAATGATAGTTAAAGAAAGAGAAGTGGGATTAGTCATCCCATTTTATGTAAGAGGCTGGATCACTTGGCACCATGGACTGGTGGGGTGAAGAAAGGCTGTTTTAACAGGGATGCTCAAAGCAGTAAAAAGCTGAGCCCAAGAAAATACTTAAAACTCCAAAACAATCAAAGCAAAACTCTCCGAATCGTTTCAATTACTTCTTTCCCAGCTTTAGTGAAAGAGAGTCCTTGCAGGCACCGCCTTTGTGTGAAATCGTGCTGGGTTCTAGATTGCCGCTGTCCGATGAACTCCCAGGTTCTGGACCATGTTCCAGGGAAGCCACAACAATTACAGGAAGAAAGGGGTCTTGTCTCCTCCTCTAGCCCACCCTTAGGGAAGGTGAAGGAAGGACTGCAGATTCATAAGGGGAATGTGATGAAGAAAAACGTAACACCACGGAAAGGTGGAACCAAGTTTATTAAGGACCATCTTTATTACAAACACTTTCCGAGTGTAAAAATAATGGGTGATTAAAAAATGAAGCTCACATGGACTCGCGCTTGGTCTTTTGCTGCATTCTCTGAAGGGTAGGGACGTTGCCTGACAATGAGTCTAAAGGTCAAATGGAGTTCATGAGGTAATTAATGGAAAAAAGGCAAAAGTGCAACTTGGAGAGCTCAAATCTTCACCGCCAGGGGATGATGCCACTAAATTATAATTTGGGGGCTGGAGATGGACTAAGGCCATCATATATCACCAGGTCATGGAATGAACCTTCATATCTAACTATACAAGTACAGATAGACACACACACACACATGCACACTCATACATACACCCAAAATATGGAATAGATTACTATTTAGAAGAAGGTTGTAAATGGAGCATTTTTTTTCCTCTTTCAAAAACTGATCACACCCAAGCTGGGATGGGGAAGGGTAGGGTGCAAAATAGAAAAAAAAACGCAAGCTTAGTCTCTCTCCAAAGTGCACTGGCCAAATGGCAATCTGGAATGATGGCATGCTATAGGAGAGGCCCTGGCACCTGTAGCATTCCTGTTACCCGGGGGAGAAATGCCCCGATAGACACTTACACAAGACACTGCTGGACGAAAGCTTCTTACTGGCACTAGGTCATGTTGGGTGGCAGCACCAAGACAGTGTCATGGGGCTCTTCCTCCAGGCTTGGACAGCAGTCTTGGCTCCTGACACTTGTGCTTCATTATCATGCTAGCTGTTAAGTCTCCTGGAAGAGGACGGAGGTAACTGGAGACCACACACACACACACACACACACACACACACACACACACTCGATTTCTTTCTTTTCCATTAGAAAAAAAAAAGACAAGCCTTTTGTTGGGGCTGCTTCCCATTGGCATTTAATTCCATTTGGGGGAAGGAAGGAAGGAGTTGGGGAGGGGTCATGAGAAAGGACCCCAGGGACAGTGTGGCTGAGTTCCTGGAAGCATTTTGTGTGTCAAGGCTGATCCCTTCACTTCAAGGATGTGGGGAACAAGCCAGAACTTCCCACAGCCATGCACTAAAAAAGAAATGGGTCAGTTCTGACCAAATTACAGTTTGAAATATTTCTGGGAGTGTTGGAACATTAGGGAGGGAGTAATGATTGGTGGATCTCAAGTCACAATTCATGCAGGTAAGAATCATTAAAAAGGAAAAGTCAAAGTTTCAGCTGAAAAAAAAGTTTTAAAGGAAAACTTAAAAGATTTGTATCAAAGCCTTAGCCCCCTGATCCCCAAATAAAGAGTATTCTAGAAATTTCCAAAGAATACAGCAACCAAATTTTTTTTTTGGGGGGGAGAACATTAGGTAACACCATTTCATTTAACACAATTTCTTCTCCTATTTCCATTTGAAATAAACCCCATGCTTGCTTAGGAAGATTGCTCGGCTAAGATACGGCACCCTGAAGTCTTCCAACTCATTGGCTCAGTGCAGATGTCATATTGATTCCCTTCCCTGGTAAAAGGGGAAGAACCCGGAACGGCAGGTGATGCTTCTCACAAGTTATTTAAAGACTCTGTTCACCAATTCTGGAGCAGGACACTTAAAAGACCCAAGTTCTTTTCTTCTTGGTTCTTAGAATTTCTTAACATTTACGGTTGGAGATGAAAAAAAAAAAGACTGCCCATTGTCAATGGGTTTCATTTTAGAAAAGACAGCAGTTCCTTTCATCTGAGGACAAAATGACTGTCCCTTCTGGGTATGATGAAGACACAAAACTCCTTTCACCACCTCTGACAGCCCTCAACACAAGGAGAGAAAAAACAGCATTTCCCACAGATTGCAATGTAATTCTGTTTCAATTTACGCACATCTGTTTGAGTTTTCCTTTTGGTAAGTGTCCAACTGTTCACAAACCATGGCTACAGTAGATGCACGGTTCAACAGCTTTCAAATGGGTCGTTTTTTGTTTTAAATTGAAATCTGTCAGTGAGCAGCAGGTCCTAATAACCCTCCCTAGGTTCACCCCCACGGAAGCAATTTCATGGCAATATCAGCCATTGGGACTGCAGACTGCAAGCTTGCATCATCAGTGGATTGGGCTTGGCATCAGCATAGCAGACTGGAGGCAGGGGAGGGTCTCAGGAGTCCAGTGTCTTACAGCGGTTGGTTCATTCAGCAGTTCTACCAGCTGGCCCTGACAGCTTCAATGTCACTAACCAAATTCTGAGCTAGGCATATCCCAAAAATCTGGAAAAAAGAAGAAAGAGCAAAAGCATCAGAGGGAGTGATTGGGTTTCCTGGGGCTTTTCTTCATTTCCTTTCATTTAAAACTCATCTTAAAAGGAAAATCTCTCACATTCAGTCAAGTACAGCTCTATCATGACAAGGATTAGAGACAAGACCTCCCTGTATTAGCTTTAAGCCCCCAATAGGGAGAAAGCAAAGCCATCAGACCAATAGTGAAAAACACTACCCATCTCCAGACAGAGAAGTGATGGAGTAAATATATAGAAGAAGACACATGTTCTTGGACACAACTCAGGTGGGAATTTATTTTATTTGACTATGAATATTGGTTACAATTCTTTTTTTTTCTTTTTCAGGGGTGGAGGGGGAGGGAGAATGTAAAAAAAAAGCTTGCTAATTGAAAAAATAAAAACAAAAAGAATGGTAATGCCAACTCTCCCAGCCAAATCCAAGAGAGAGAGACAGAGATAGAGACAGAGAGACAGAGAGAGAGAGAGCAAGAAATTGGACTTAACATCCCTCTAACACCTTTCATAGTTCTAATATCCTATCATGTGTTCTGTTCATTCAAACTTTGGATCAAATGAGATGTCATATGTCACCTCCCGTAAAAGCTCTTTGCAGAGCTTAAAGTGCTACATAAATGCCATTATTATTATTTTATTATTGTTATGCTTCCAGAATTGCTTAATGATCACAAATGATTACAAATGAAGAGTCCCTGAGCCACAAAGGAACTTAAGCACCATGAAGTATAGAACATTACAGCTGGGGGCAAAAAATCAGCTATTTCAGCCTCTTCCTTATTCAGGTAAATAAACCGACACCTAGAGAGAAGTGCTTTGTCCAAAGTACCGGAACTACTAAACACTCTATTCTTTGACCTGTGGAAACACCTTACCAAACCCTTTTCTGGGGGTCTGAACTTCCCTTTATGGGATCCGAGTTTCACAGCTGGAAGAGCCTAAGGGGTCACTTAGTCTAATCCTCTTCTTTTACAAATGAGGAAACTGATGCCCCAGGAAGTGAAGTGATTGGCCAAGATTACACAGAAGGATGATTTGAACCCAGATCCTCTGAGATTCCAGAGCCAGCACTCTTTCCAGGGTACCATGATGCCTCCATGTTCCAAGAATCTTTTAAACTAAGAAAGGTTGTAATTTAACAACAGTGACTTATGGGAAATTAGACCAAATGACTCACATTAATACCAACTGGTTCTTTGAAAATGGATTGAAAGTGGATAGAGCTCTGGCCTTGGAGGCAGGAGGACCAGAGTTGAAATCTGGCCTTAGACATTTAACACTTACTAGCTGTGTGACCCTGGGCAAGTCACAACCCCAATTGCCTCACCAAAAAGCAAAAAAAAGGGGGGGGCAGCTGGGTGGCACAGTGGATAGAGCACTGGCCCTGGAGTCAGGAGGACCTGAGTTTAAATCTGACCTCAGACATATAACACTCACTAGCTGTGTGACTCTGGGCAAGTCACTTAACCCCAATTGCCTCAGGAAAAAAAGAAAAAAGAAAAAGCAAAAAAAAAAATCATCAAAAAAAAGAAAAAGGACTCAAATTTTAATTAATAATTAATTAATTTTGGTCAAATATCTAGAATTAAAATATACATTGGTTATTTTGGGAAGATTTTAGCTCAAAACAAAAAAAAAATACACATAAATTATTGTGCATCAGGCACAGTAAATTTGCTCAGTCAGTTAACTACTTTTGCAAGGGCAATTTAACTTGATTGACTATATACATCACCCTGCCCACTACTTCTATCTACATTAGCTGGGAAAGAATGTAGTCAGAAGACTTGGGTTAGACTCAGCTTTGGCACTTACAAGGTGTGTGACCTTGGGCCAGTCACCTTCCTTTCCTCATCTTTAAACAAAGCTGTCACACTTGATGATCCATCAAAAAACATCACTCAGTATTTATTAATTGCTGACAGTGTGCCAGACACTGTGTTAGGTGCTGGGGAATACAAAAACAAAGAATGAAGCAATCCCTAAGATCCCACTCAGCTGTAAGCCTAGGATGCCATGATGGCAGAGAAAGTTCTAGAACCCGTTGCCTGACTCTCAGGCCAGAGCTCCTTCCTCTATACCAGAGGTTAATCCCTATAGATCTCTCAGTATGAAAGGAAATAAAATGCTAGAGTTTACCATACCTTTGAACAAATAAAAAGATGAATTAATTTCAACAGGATAATATAGCTATTTACCAAATGTTCCCCTAAACAGGCAGCTAAGTGGCGTAGTAGACAAAACGCTAGACCTGGAGTTAGAAAGACCTGAATTCAAATCCAGCCTCAAACTCTCACTAGTTGTATGACTCTGGGCAAATCACTTAACCTCTGTTTGCCTCAGTTTCCATATATAGAAAACGGAGATAATAACGGCACCAACCTCAGAAGATTATTGGGAGGATAAAATGAAACACAATTTCTAAAATCTTTTGTAAACCTTAAAGCACTATATAAATGCTAGTTGTTGCATAATTCCTGGCTGCTACTCCCTCAATAAGCTTCTTGTAGCCCCTGTGGGTGCACCATCCTGCCACGGAGGGTTGCAGCCATCCCTCCCAGAGCTTGGTGCCCTCTGCAGATGTGATGAGTGGCGAGCCAGCTCTGGCTTTATTCAAACCATTGGTGAAAATGTCAGACAAGCATAGATCATCAGACAATCCAGCAGAGGCCTCCCTGCCACTTTGGAGAGGAATAACTCGGGGCTCTGCTCTTGGTCTCAGCTACTCAGCCAGTTCTGAATTGTATTTTCCTAGGCCACAGCTATCCATCTTGTGCACAGGATCATGCCACCGACTTTATGAAGTGCTTTGTTAAAATTTAGGTTAGATAGATTGTATTCCCCTAAATCTATCAGTCTGATAATCCTGTAGAAGGAGGGGGGAGAGAGAGAGAGAGAGAGAGAGAGAGAGAGAGAGAAGAGAGAGAGAGGAGAGAGAGAGAGAGAGAGAGAGAGAGAGAGAGAGAGAGAGAAAGAGAAGAGAGAGAGAGAGAGACAGAGAGAGAGAGAAGAAGAAGAAGAAGAAGAAGAAGAAGAAGAAAGAAGAAGAAGAAGAAGAAGAAGAAGAAGAAGGGAAGGAAGGAAGGAAGGAAGGAAGGAAGGAAGGAAGGAAGGAAGGAAGGAAGGAAGGAAGGAAGGAAGGAAGGAAGGAAGGAAGGAAGGAAGGAAGGAAGGAAAGAAGGAAGGAAGGAAGGAAAGAAGGAAGGAAGGAAGAAAGGAAGGAAGGGAGGAAGGAAGGAAGGAAGGGAGGGAAGAGGGAAAAAAGGAGAAAAGAAGGGAAGGAAGGGAGGGAGGGGAGGAGAAAGGGGGAAAAGGGAAGGAGAGAAGAAAAAGGGAAAAAGGGAAGGAAGGAGGGAAGAGGAAGAGAGGAGGGAAGGAGGAAGGAAGGAAGGAAGAATTGAAAGAAGAAGGGAAAGAAGGAAGAATGAAGGGAGGGAGGGAAGAGGGAAGGAAAGAGAAAAGGAGAGAAGGAAAGGAAAGAAAAGAAGAAAGGGAGGGAGGGAGGAAGGAAGGAGGGAAGAGGGAAAAGGGAAGGAGGGAGGGAGGAAGGAAGGGAAGGAAGAAGGGAAAGAGGGAGGAGAGAAGGAAGGAAGGAGGGAGGGGAGGAAGGAAGGAAGGAAGGGATTTAGATTGACTGGACCAGTTCTTGATGAAGCCACATGGAATGTTTGTGATCATCATTTCAGAGATGTTCACTACCACCTCTTTAATAACATGCTCTATATCCCTCTTATTCTTCAGGACCTTTCAAATCTCACTGACAGTGGCTCCACACTCATATCTGCTAGTTCTTTCAGTGCCCCAGGACATATTTCATCTGGACCAGGTGGCATGAACTCATCAAGAACAGCAAGGTGCCATCTCAGTACTTTCTCACCTGTGAATCAACTCTCTATTAGCTCTTTTCCCTCAGTACTTTCCAGTCCAAAAATCAGCTTCCTTGGCAGAGAAAATGGAAGCAATATTGAGCAGCTCTCTGCCTTCTCCCTGTCAGTCAGTATTAGTCTCCCATCCAACCCAGGAAGAGGGGCATCCCTCCTTTTCTCAACATAGCTTAATTTTTTTTCCAAAATAAGCTTTCATATGAATTTATCTGTTTCCCATCATAAAAAACAAACTAGTAGCATCTTCCTCATACCCATAAGATTGGCAAAGATGGCGAAATATGTAAACATCTATCACTGGAAAGACTATGGGAAAACAGACACAATAATGAATGATTAGTGGAGTAGTGATTGGCTCAACCCTCCTGAAAAATAATTTGGAACTATAGTCAGAAAGTCTCTAAATGGCATACACTCTTTGGAGCCATTGAAACTTCTGTTTGGGATCCCAAAATCCCAAGTAAATCGAGAACAGGGGGCGAGGAGTGGTGGTGGTGGAGAACCCATATGTACAAGGACATTTAAAACAGAACTTTTAGCAGCACCAAAGAACTAGAAGTCAAATAAGTGCCCCTCGGAACCACTGAGCAAGTTGTGGTACAGGAATGTGATGGAATATTATTACAACATAAGAAAAGTGGAATGCGGGATTTGGAAGAATGCAGGAAGAGGAACAAACCGGTGCAGATTGAAATAAGCAAGAAAAGAAAAAGAATCTGCATGATGACACCAACAATATGAAGGAAGACAACTTAGAGAGACCTCAGAACTGTCATAAGAGCAGCGACAAATGGCTTGGAAAGATGGCTGATAAAACATACCTCACATCTGGAAAGAAAGGTAACTGAATAGCAATTCAAAATGATGCATTTTCAAGCATGGCCAATGCATTGATTTGTTTTGTTATAAGGGAGGGCTTCCATGGGAACAAGGAGAGGGTGGTGATGGCAGGCACAAGGAAAGCTAGTGAGTAATGACAAACAGGACCACAAAATCATTAATAAACTATTTTCTTTTTTTTTTTTTAACATATTTCCACATTAGTCATGTTGTGAAAGAAGCAGCAGGACAAAAGGGAAAAACCACAAGAAAGAAAAAAAAGAAAATAGTATGCTTCCATCTGCATTCAGATTCCACAGTTCTTTCTCTGGATGTGGATAGCATTTTCTGTCACGAGTCTTTTGGAGTTGTCTTAGATCCTTGTATTGCTGAGAAGAGCTGTCTATCAAAGTCAATCATCACACAGTATGGCCGTTACTGTGTACAACGTTCTGGTTCTGCTCACTTCACTCAGCATCAGTTCAAGTATTTCCAGGTTTTTCTGAAGTCTGCCTGCTTATCATTTCTTATGGAACAAAAGTATTCCATCACATTCATATACCACAACTTGTTCAGCCATTCCCCAACTGATGGGTGTCCCCTCAATTTCCAATTCTTTGCTACCACAAAAAGAGCTACTATAAGTATTTTTGTACATGCGGATCCCTTTTTTTTAATCTCTTTGGGATACAGACCTAGTAGTGGTACTGCTGGATCAAAAAGTATGCACAGTCAATAAACCATTTTCTTAAAATGTATAGTACCAAAAAAAAATACATAAGGGGACACAAATGAATAGCGCTATTCATTATTCTGTTAAAATAGATTTTTAAAAAACAAAAAACCCTATAGTACATTGAAATGTGTGTTATTAATTTAAAAGTTGCAATCTAAAAAAGGGGTAATTTTAACATTACTAGCAGACAAATATTGAAAGTGCCTGATTAGCTATTCCATCATTAGGAAAAATTGCATCATCTACATAGGTAATAATTATAGCAAAGTAGGGAAAACTTGAAGATCACAGCTCTATTGTCACCTGAGTGTTGCTCTATGGATCCTAATTAATTTTTGCCTGAAGCTTAAGTAATTATTTGGCGAATGCAGTATTTTTTTATTGCCCTGTATGCCAAAATCTATCATTTCTTACTAGGATTCCCTAGTGGTACTTTTTATATATTTTGAGTTAATCAGCAAATATAACTAAGTAACATCTAAAGAAGACTTAACTCTCCAACTTGGGCAAGGCTTGTAGTGAATCTATCAACATATTATACCCACTGTATCAAGACTTCTGATGGACCAGGCACTAGTGGGGAGACAGGAGTGGTGTGGTGAGGGGGACACTTCAATATTCCAAGGATCTATAATTCTTGTGACCTAAATATGACTCACTCTCCCACCAACCATTGAAAAGACCCACAGAAAATTCAGACTGGTCCTAGGATAACAAACAGTTATCATTAGGCCCATCCTTAAAACTTCCACTAAAGTTCTCTTCCAATGCCTTATTGGGGTATGCTGGTGACCCTGGACTGTCAAAGATTCTGCCCAGATGAAACAACTTCCTGCCCTCAAAGGAAGTTACAATCTACTTGAAGAGATAGAATATACATAGAAAAGAATCTAGGAAGTTTTATCAACTCTTCATCTTATTCACCCCAATCAGATGTTAAGTCTTACTGATTCTTCCTCCCACAACATCTCCTGAATCCAGGCCCTCCTTACCATTCACATCACAGCTAACCTAATTTTAGGCACCTATAATGGACTCTTCCAATGGACTGTTCCAATAACCTCCCAACTGGTCACCCTCTCTCCATTCTCTCAACAGTTTGTTGTACAACGGTCGAATGGATATTTCTACACTATGAGTCCAACTCAATCACTCACTCTCTCGTTCAAGTCGTTCTTCTTATAAATAAAATACAAACTTTGCTGTTTGGCATTAAAAGCCAAACAAATTGAAGGGTCTGGCTCCAACCTACCTTTCTAACATATTCTCTCTCTCTCTCTCTCTCTCTCTCTCTCTCTGTCTCTCTGTGTCTCTGTCTCTGTCTCTCTGTCTTCTCTCTCTGTCTCTGTCTCTCTCTCAGTCTCTCCTCCATCTCAGCATGCTTTTGTATACTAGCCTACTTGCCTTCCACCTCTGTGGCTTTCACATAATTTGTGCCCCCAACACCTGTCTTCTTTGCAATCCCTCACTCCCTTCAAGGCTCAGATCAAGCACTCTCCTCTAAAAGACCTGACCTGATTTCTGATTCAAAGCAGCACGCTAAGCACAGTGGATACTACATGTGGAATGATAAAGATCTGAGTTCAAATCTGGCCCCAGGCACTTGCTAGCAGTGTGACCCTGGGCAAGTCACTTAACCTCTGTCTGCCTTATTTTCCTCATCTATAAAATGGAGGAAATAATCCCACCTACCTCCCAGGGTTGTTGTGTGGACAAAATGAGATATTTGTAAAGTCCTAAGCTTTCCTCGAGTTGCATGTAAGCTCCTTGTGGGCAGGGGCGATTTGGTTTTTGCCTTTGTATCCCCAGTGCTTGGTAGGATGCCTGGCACATAGTAAGCACCTGAAAAATGCTTCTTGAATTGAAGTGAACCAAATTATTGCTCAAAACAGCAAGTGCCAAATTACATATAAACAAAGTGTTTGTGCTGAGAAAACGCCCGGGTTTGCTGCTGTTATTTTAATGGGGCAGCACTTACCATCCCTTTACTCTCTTTTTTTTTCCTTTCTCTAAACAGCTCAAAGTTGACACATCTGATACTGATTATTGAAGACGTTCCGCCCCACCCCCCCAAAAATAAAAAAATTTTAATTGTCAGGGGGAGGACTATGTATTCTAGCTTATCTTGCTTTACTCAAAAGAGGAGTTCCTAAAACATATGTCAACTGAATTGCATTTTAGGAGGAGAATTTCATGCTTACAGCAACCCTACTAGGAATCATTTTATAAATTCCTTGTTTAATATGAATAAATTGCCCACCTGATGGTTCTATCTGTCTGGGTTTTCATTCCCTTGAGCTTTCTTAAATCAGGACAGACCTAGGTTTATAAATACCTGCATTAGCAGTAAGTAGCAGGCTAAAGCAATGTCTTCTAAAAATGAGGGTTAAATCATATAAAAATTAATATCTTCCAACAACTTCCCTAACCTCCTGCCTCTAGTTTAAAAGAAGGAAATCAGAAATGACTAGAGGAGCAATCTTCTGCTAGCTTTGTATGTTCAAAGAAGCTAGAAGGCTGGAGTCCATCCAAAGACCTGGGTTCAAATCCCACCTCTGACACCTAACTAGTCATACAAGCATGGGCAAGTCACTTAACTTCCTAGTGCCCCAAGCAATTGTCCAAATCTAGGAGTTCCTGAAGAGTTGCATAACTAGACCAGTGGAGGGCATTTCCACCTGGAGTGCTTCATAACAATTCAACAGGGTGAGCGACCTTGGCAAATGAGGTCTTACTTACCTGAAGCAATGCAATGCCTATGAAAATACCAGCCACTATGGTTAAGTTGTCTTGTAACCACTTCTCAAACTGGGGCACACAGCCTTTTGTGTAGATTACAATCTGTTGATCGACCTCCTTGACAAAAGATGAGGAAAGAAGAGTGTCACAGATACTCTTATGGTCCCAATATCCTGTTGTTTAAAAAAAAAAAGTCTTCGTGCTAGGCAGGAACAACGAGAAATTCTACTTACTGGTTTTTGCCTGGCATCATATCCACATTGAGTGTTGATGACATCTTCCTGATGGGAAAAGGAAACAGAGAAGTTTCTCCTTGTTACAGGGACACCACCAAACAGAGGCATTGGTTGTGGTTTAGAAAAAGAGCTGGGAGTCTGGTTAGGATCACATAAGATTAGGGCCAGAAGGGAAAAATCATCCCAATCGCCCTAGAGCTACCAACACACTGGCTTTTTCCATAAGGGAAGATAAAAAGTGCCTTTCACCCAGGGATCTGCTAAAGATTTATCTGGTAGAGATTTACCAAGGAGTGCTGTGATGCCTGGCATACACATTTACATTTAATCTGCATTATTAACTTTTTCTCCAACACTTTCATAAGCAATCAAATTAAACCACAAATCAAAATGTGTGGCTATTTCTGAGGTGTAAATGCACACACTGATGATTTAACAATCAGGTCTGCCTGTACATCCCTGCTGTCACCCCATTAACACCAAGGTGAGACTTGGGGGTGGGGTGCGTGAAAGGACAGACGAGGAAAAACTAAGTACAAAAACCAGAACCTGCAAAAAGGCCAACTTGGACTCGATGCCAGGAAAATCTCATCAATAATCTGAACTGTTCTAAAGGAGGTTGGGCTGCCCCTGGGAAAGGTGGGTCTCCCTTATTTAAGAAGTCCAAAGCCTAAGCCAGGTGATCCCTTATTACATTATATCATATCAGAGATTCTGATTCGGGTATCAATCAGACTAAAACACCTTCCAACTCTAAAATATTGTAATTCTGTGAATTAATCAAGGCAAGGGATGAAAACCCATGGGAAGGAGGGAAAGGGCACCACAGCAAGAAATGCCCTGGCTGTGTGTGGTTTCACCAGATATCAGAGGACAAAAGAGAATCCTTGTGATAATGAGATAATGAGGAAAACTGCATGACATGGCACGGTGAGCCCAGGGTCCAAAACCTCCAACAAAAGGAAAGTGTCTCATAAGAGAATCTTATTGTATATTTATAGAATGAAAATTGGCATTCTCTAAGGCCATAACTGCCCATCTTCCAATCACTACCCACAATGACTTCTCTCACTAGGTCCCCATCTACCACTACTTTAATCACCATCTTGGCAAAAGAAAGAGCAACAGACACCAGCCACATCTAAAGGTAAAAACAACATCAATTGGCATTCATAGTTTGCAAAGCTGGGTGTGTGGGTGTATGGGTGGGTGTGACTGTACTCAATTGAGCCTCACAACTTGTAGGTGCTATTATTATCCCCATTTCACTGATTAAAAAAAAATGAGGCTGGGAGAGGTTAAGTGATTTCCCAGAGTTACATAGCTAGTTTAAGTCTAAGGTAGATTTTGAACTCGGGTCTTTAGGACTCCAAGTCCTGTGCTCTGCACCAACTGACTGCTTGTGTGTGTGTGTGTGTGTATACATACACATATGTACGTATGTATGTATATAAACACACACCATAAATGAATCACAGAGGCCCATCCTCTTAGGAAGCCTTCCTTGATCCTTCAAACTGGATGTGATTTCACCTTCCTTTGGAGCCCCATGGGACTGTTTGATCCCCTCTCCTAGCACCTAGCACATTCTGCCATGTATTCTAGTTATTTGTGCACTTGTCCCCTCCCTCCCACATTAAACAGTAAGCTCTTTGAGGGCAGAGCCATTTCTGATTCTTCTTTGGATCTCCCACAAACCAAGATGGCTCACTGCATGTAGTAGGTGCTCCATGAGTATATCCTGAGTTGAACTGAATTGCAGAACCAGGGGGGATGAGGTGAGTTTTGCCTTCAAGGAAGAGAGGGATAAGAGGCCCAAGCCAGAGGAGATTCATGAACCCCGCAACCCCTCCCCCTCCCCTTTGGATAAGGTAGGCTTTGCTCATTCACTTACTGCAGGATCTTTCGTACAACATGAAAACGGCACACCGCATCGTTCTCGACTTGCGTTGGAATCTGTGCAATTGAAGTAAATATTTAGGTTCCAGTCATCTGCTCCAAAAGCCCCACAGCACTGCCACTAGAGCAAAGAGGAAAAAATCAGAACTTCTTCACTCATCGATGACCCCGCTCACACTCATCTTCCCCAGCCTTCTTTGCCGGCACTCCTGCTTCCCCCAGAATGCCCTTGGAAGCCAAACAGAACCTAAGCGGCACATCAAAAAACCTCCAAAGGAATTCAAAACCCTGCTTACAATATTAGTTCACCGGTTTACAATTGCTAAAGAAGGATGGAGAGTGACATCACAGCAAAGAAGGAACTAGGCAGCACATTTCTAACAGGCTTGGTTTAATTTAGGGCAGTCTGTAAGGCAGTCTGTGTCTGCTGGGTATGGGAGGAGGGAACACATCTGGCCCACAGCCTCTCTTCATTATCCGGGGAAGACCACTGCCTATACCCTTCTTGGAGGCCAACAGGACAATTTGATTGCTCTAAGATTTTCAGGGCCAGAGCTGCCTGGAAGCATTCAGCTCCACATGGCTCTAATGGCCTGGTTGGAAAAAGACAAAACCAAGCCAAACATGTAGAATGTAATTTTCACCAAATGCAAACAACATTTCAAAGAGGTGTGTTGGTCATGCCATACTTGATTGTTGGGAAGGGTTCTTCTGGATAACACGAATCAGGACAAATCATGGAGGTGACAGAACTCCATTGTATCAGTCATACAATCCAGCTACAAATAACATTGACTTTAAATTGGAAGGCTAAGTCAGTTAAAGGGAACTTTAGAATCTGATGATGGGAAAGAGAAAGCTTTGGTCCACAACTAAGGCTTGGCCAACCACAGAGAAGTTATAGCAGACACTACTGATAATCATGAAGCTTGAAAGGGCATTACAGTCCAGTCAGCCAACCTGTCCATTGTATGAGAGAAGGGAGGGGAGGGAAGAAGCATTTATGTAGCCCCTACTGTATACCAGGCACTATGCTAAACACTTTTTGCAAATATTATCTCATTTGATGAAGTAATGGAGACCCAGAAGAAGAGATTATGGTCACAACAGGAAGAAGGAATCCTGACTCCCTCCTCACTACACCATGGTGTCTACCCAGGGCCTTATTCAATAAATAAGTGAATGGACATTAATCTACAGCCCAAGAGCAAATGTTTCAGATGGTTTATACAGAGGGAGGTCTATTCAAATGCCAACAGATCTTTCATTACATATAAGTTATTACCATAATGCAAGATAATATCTCATATACATTTCCCTTTTAGTTAAACCTCACAACATCCTTATGTTTTAGGTAGGGCCTCATTTTACAGACAAAATAACAAAAGACATAAAAAGGTTAAAGTGGCCTGCCAAAGTCTCTTGCATGGCTAGTTGTAGAGACAGCAAAAAGGTAGAGACCAGGATTCGAACCCAAGTCCTCTGACTTCAAAAGCCAGGATGCTTTCCAATTATATAACAGCACAATTATGGGCTGTGGTACAGGGGAATCAGGTGCCAAAAACAAGTTATCTTTAGTTACCAGGTGGAACTTTAAAAATACAAGCAGCTGATTGTCATTCACTGCTAATGGGAAAAGACCAGCTAGCATGGCAGGCATGCCTCCACACAGCTCCCCCATCTTCTTCCTGTTCACATCAAACAAAAAAGCATCCGACATAGAATTCTACTTGAGACCTCCGAAAGGCAAGTGAGAAGACCAGGAGAACCCCAGGCCACTGAAGGCATGTCTTTGTTGGCCAACACAAAAAGCAGGGGAGAAAGCAATTATGTAGGAACCTCCATTCAAACAGGTGCTTGAGTCGAAAAGAAACACGATTCCCACTTACATATTCCTGGGTAAAGTCTATGAGGTTTTGTAAATCGATGTCATCCCGATAAGCTCTGATGTTGTTATTTATAAAGAAATACAGCTGGTCTTTGATCCAGTCTTTGAAAACAAATGCCAAAACTCCAGCAGTGAGCTCCAGGAAGAAAATAATTCCCAGGAAGACAGAAAACTAAGACAAAAGACACAGAGAGAATGGTTATGATGGCTATTTTCACCATGTTTGGTTAAAAGGCTCTTCTCTCTTTTTAAGTATTGTCATTATAGCGGAGTGTTACTCAGCACTAACGCAGACAATCATCAGTTTCTCGAGATTTATTCATACAAAATTACATTTCAGCAAAGATTAAAACAAATTCCACAATCACATTTTAGGTGCACTGGTGTTCCAGTCAGTAATTCAGCAAAGCCCATAGGCAAACAAGAATGACTCATTACACCCACATTAGGTCCAAATGCATTTCACATGACTGATGTTTCTGCCAGGAGCTTTTAATAATGACCAATTCCTTACCTCTAAGATATTTTGCTTGTATTAAAAAAGATAGAGAATATCATAATATTGGCATTTTCCTGCCATCTGGAATGGTGGTCAGGATTCCATATTTCTTTAGAGGATTCAGATGTTTTTTTAATCCTCCCCTTGCACCTGCTACACAGGGTGAAATAGCAGGTGGGTTCATTTGAGGAAAATGACGCAGCCTGAGAGGTGGTGAGGGGGAGCATGACATTAAAATAATCTTCCCGCATTAGGAAAAGCAAAGTGAGACAAACCGCCACCCACTCCTCCTGGTCACCTGAGGACCATTCGCTCCTTTGCTGCTCCCCTTTGGGGACAGCCTTGTCCCCCGGCCACATTTCTAACATCCTTTTCCAAAACAGAATCATTTCTAAATTCTAAAGTCAGAAGAAGCCTTTGTAAAGCAAAAGCCAGTATTAGGTATATTTTGACTATAGTCTCTGTGGGAGAGCAGGTTCAAAACCATGGACCTAGTGGAAAAATCTGCATGATTTCTGAGAGGAAAATTCCAAAGGTGTGTGGCACATCTTGTACTAAGCCACCCACCTCTTTTCTTTGGACTTCTCACCCACCCATCCCTTTTCTCTAAGCAGGTCTGATGCTATTGAAACAGGAAATGGGAACTGAAGTATAATTACACAGGTCAACCATTCTAACAACAGCAGGGACAGGCAAGCCCAGATGGGATCTCAACCACTGCGCCCCCAACGAATTTGCAGGCTAGGAAAAGCCAATCTAAAGAAACATAAATAACACTTAAGAGCTATCCTTTTGGGGCAGCTAGGTGGCGCAGTGGATAGAGCACTGGCCCTGAACTCAGGAGGACCTGAGTTCAAATCTGGCCTCAGACCAAACACTTGACACTTACTAGCTGTGTGACCCTGGGCAAGTCACTTAACCCCAATTGACTAAAAAGCAAAAAAAAAAAAAAGAGCTATCCTTTTATTTACAGCAAACAGAATCAACAAAATGTGGTGGGGAGAGAAAATCATCCATTTACTCCACAAAATTGAGAAAGGGGGAAGTGTGTGATAAATATGGTAATTCTTCATGTGACTGTAAGTCACAGGTTCTTAACCTGGGACCTATAAAGCTTGTAGATAGATTTCAGGGGCTCCATGATGAATGGGGTAAAATGACATCTTTATTTTCGTAAGCCTCTAACTCCTTTATTCCAATATTATTTGGAGAAGGGGTCCATAAGGTTGACCAGACTGCCAAAGGAGACCATGACACACAGAAAGAGTAAGAATCCTTACTTAGGGGAGTGTTACACCCATATGGTACCAGTCTCTACCCAACTATGTTCCATATGTGGTATGTCATAAGTCACAGCATCTTCAGGTCTAAAAAAGACAGCCCAGAACTGCAGATCCAGCACCACCTTCTAGAAGTCCTGACTTTCTAAAGACTCATTCCCACTCCAGGTTCCTAAGTGCCTGTACTATTGTCTGGATTCCTAAGAATAGAGCTTTAGAGACCCAGGTACCTGGACATACCATGACTGCTTGAGTCAATGGGCAGCAAAACACCACAGATGTACTTATTGATGGCACAAGTCCTTTCAAATCATCACTCATCTCAATGAAATATAAAGATGTCTTTGCTCCTACAGTATTAATGGTTACTGGAAACTTTACTCTGGGTAATATCCCCAATGTTGGGCATGAAGAAAAAGGTCAAGGGGGAAAAAAGCTAAACACATAGTTATACTTTTGGATAGAACATAGAATAATTTCTCTTTCTTTCATAGTCACCACCTTTATGCATATGAAAAAGAAATCAACTGTTTTTGATTACTTTTATTTCTCTTTAGTTTGATTATAGGATCAAACTCCCTTCTTTAGGAAGAACTAACCCTAAACTAAGCCAGACTAACATGAAGAGTCTCTTAAGTCTAGGTTACCTGTAGATTTAGTGAAAAGAGAGATGGAGAAGACTTTATCATTCAGTGGCAGATAATTTAGAAGAATAAAATAATCATAAGATTATAAGGTTTTTCGAAAGGCCAAATTTCCTTTTCTAGCAGAAAGTGGGATTGACCAGAGGCTAAGTTCCTCTTTCTGGCAGCTGGAGAAAGGTTAGCCAAAGGTTGTTATTTTTTTTCCAGTCTTAGTGGTTAAGCCCTTTTTTTTTTCTTCTTGAGCTAGAGTCTAAGTTGACTAATGGATTCTGCTAAGGCAGATGGAGGGGTGACTGCTAACCACTGACCACAACTTCTTCTTTCCCGGTCTACTTTCTGGTTACAAAAGGTACCACCTGGAAGAAAGGATGTCTGGCATAGGATTAAGAAAGTCTTGGGAGAAGACAACTAGTCATGTGACCTACCTTGTCCAATTGAATTCTGTTCAAAACAAATTTGTCATTTTTCCAATTCCTCTTTTTTTGTTTTAAAAACCATCTCTGTAAATCATTCCTTGTCTCTGACCTCTGAGGAGTCAGGTGACCTGGTCTGACAGGTAAATCTCAGCTTTTGCAGATTAAATCACAGATGACTCGGTAACTTTGTCTTCAGTTTCCTTTTTATTTCAGACAATCAATTTTAACCCAAATCTCTCTCTGCTGTATTTATTATGTCTCTATTTTTAATCTATTTTTGTCCTATCCTCAGGGCTAAGCACATAGCAGGTACTTAATAAATGTGTGTTGACTGGCTGGTTGATCAGGAGTTGGGCATCATTTTTTCTTGCCTATATTTCTCACCAGTCTCTTACCAGGCCATTCCTAATCAGTGACAAAAATTTGAGATCAAAGGCTATCTTGCTCACCTAGTGAACTGCATGCCCCAGATCTCTCTAATCATTTTCATGACTTTTCCCTATCCCTCTATGTTTGGTTTGTGTTCCTTTGCTGTATAGAATAACCTTCCCTATCATGTTTGCTACACTCATTTTTTGCAAGGAAGGGAAGTTTTAGTATCCAAGTGCAGCCCTTTGACTGAGTCCAAGTTTTACAGAACAAATCCTTTCATTAAGTGGATTTGTTCTGTGAAGTTTTGGATTCAGAAGCTAGAGGGCTTCATGTGGCCTCGAGGCCGCAGCTTTCCCACCCCTGCACTAGACTGAGTATATTAATTTCATTTACTCTAAAACATGCACAACTAAGGACTCATTTTGGAGGAGGAGGGGGAGGTTTAATTTGGGGATACTGTTAAAACATTCGGTTCTGGTTTCTCAGGCAACATTCACCCTCTGTCAAAAATGGCTACTTGTCAATCATGTGAACCACAGATAAATTTGCATCCATTCAAATAATGTAGAATTTATAATTATTTTTATACTCAAAGGTCGGAAAGAAAATCACTAAATAAAATTCTTCTTTGATTTCACATCTAGGCATGTGCAAGTGTTCGAGTCAGGATTGTCTTTAATGAGCAGAAATAACTCCTGACTTACTCTCTTATAATCCGAGGGTCAGTTTTAGAGCTAGAAAGGACTCTCTCTTTCCACAGAGGATAAACTGAGGCCCAAAGTGGTTAAAGTGGTTTGCCCAAAATCACACAGATGGTGACAGCTCTGGGACTGGACTCCAAAGTCCCCTGACTACAAATCCATTGCTTTGCTCACTCTACCACACATGGGCACAAGAAACAAGTTGACCCTAGCTTTTGCAGGGATCCCAGTGGATTACAGTAATGGCTCTTGTCATCCTGATTTAATACTCTGATTTTCATGATACCTATACAGCTGTAAGGCTGTCTGCATTAGCGACACCTTTTTTTTTTTTAAATCACCATATACAAATTCACTTATCTGCTGCTAGAATGCCAAGGGATAACATGCCAACTTAGACATTTAAGTGCTACCTTTGAAGAAGTTGCTCATCCTGAACTATCCATACAAGGTACTTTTTTTTTTTTTACAGTAAGCCAGGTACTTTTTTTTTAAATCATAAAATAAACAGCAGCTCCCATAATGCTTTGCCATGTTCATAGTCTCTCTTAAGGCAGTGGTGTCAAACTTAAATAGAAACAGGGGCCATTAACCCATACATGAGGATCCTTGAAGGATGCATATTAACTTAGAAAATCCATGTTTATCTATTTCTTTTTTATTAATACATAACACATTAAACTTAGATAGGAACTCCATTTTTAATAGTATTTTATTTTTCTCCCAATTATATGTAAAGACAATTTTTAGCACTCATTTTGACAAGATTTTGAGGAACGGCATTTTGTTTTGGTTTTGGCCACACCCAAGAGTGTTGTGGGTCGCCATGTTTGATGCCTCTGTCCTTAGGTACTCCTAAGTTAATTGAAAATGAGAATTACTCGATCATGAGTTTATAAATACTGAACTCCCCTCTAATAGAAAGGACCACAAAGGAAATTTTCCTTTTACTTCAATTTCAGAGTGAAAGGGATCACCACGGTCACATGTTTGCAGGAGTCTTTCCCACACTATATCTTCCGCTCCACAAACACAAAGATTGAAGATCAAAGAAGTTGGATACTTACAAACTTGAGAAGGAAAGTGTTTTCTCGAAGAGCTCCAATACATCCTGCAAATCCTAAAATGAACATAACTCCCCCCACAACCATGAACAGCCAAACAGGATCAAAACCTCCCAAGTCTGTGATTGAAGAGATATTCGACAGTACTCCCTAAGAGGGAAAAAGAAACACAAACAAAAATACTGTTGAGATAAGCTTTTGAATTCTGGTTTTATGTGTTGTTGATTCCATGGTGTTTTTGTTTTGTTTTGTTTTTTAATTTTTTTTCAATTCATGGAACAAAACAAGCATTTCTATAACACAGTACAATAAAAAAGATGATTGCATATGAAACTGTAAATCTACCATGTACAACTTGCTATTCTCTCCAAATATACAACAAAGTTATCATGTAAATTTATTTTTTCTTTTTTTTCTTCCTTTCCCTCACCCCACCCTAGAGATGACTACCACTAGACATAAATAGGTATGTGTATACACATATATGTATGTGTATGTATTATGCATATATATATATGTGTGTGTGTGTGTGTGTGTGTGTGTGTGTGTGTTTTGTGTATGTGTGTGTAAAATTATTCTATCATGGTGTTTTTTTAAAAAGAGTATTTTCAAAACAACCCAGATCAATAGGTAAAATGAAAGTTATTAATACAAAGAACAAAGAGAGAGAAGTATCATGAAACTCTAGAGAGATCAAGAGTGGCCTACTGAGACAGCTAGGTAGAGCAGTGGATAGAGCACCAGCCCTGCAGTCAGGGGGACCTAAGTTCAAATCCAGCCTCAGACACTCATTAGCTGTGTGACCCTTGGGCAAGTCACTCAACCCCGATTGCCTTAAAAAAAAAAAAAGATTGGCCTGCTTGCTGTGTTCCAAACTGGACATTCCATCTCTGGCAACCATGTCTTTGCACATGTAGTCCCCCAGGTCCGTCTGCAATACAGTTCTCCTTACCTCCACCTCTTAGCTTCCTCCACTTTTCTGAAGTTTTTCCTGATCCTCCTAGATGTTAGCATTCTCTCCATTTTCAAAATACCGTGTCTTTGCTTAGCCTGCCTCTGACACTTAGTAGCTATGTGACCACGGGTGAACCAATTAATGCTCTTGTGCCTCAGTTTCCAATTGTGTAAAATGAAAGGATTATAATCAATGGCTTCTAAGGTCTCTTCCAGCTCTAGATGTATGGTCGTAGGCTGTATGCTCAATAAAATGCAAGGTCTTTGAGGGCTGCAAGTAGTTTTCATTTTTTAATCCCCAGGTTTTATAGAACATAGTTTCTTTTACAGAACATACCTTCAAAAAAATGCTAGTTGAATTAAACTGAATTGTCTTATAGAACAAAGGAGACCTCATGCTGCCCAGACAGACAATGCCCCTGGAAGTGGCAGACACTAACCAGAGAAGAAGGCTCAATGAAGGCTTTCTTGGGAATGGGCCAGAAATACAATTGTCTAATAATTGTTGTTCCGTCATGTCCAACTCTTCATGACCCCATTTGGGGTTTTCTTGGTAAAGACATGGGAGCGGTTTGCCATTTCCTTCTCTAGCTCATCTTACAGATGAAGAACTGAGGCCAACAGGGTTAGGTGACTCGCCCAGGGTCACACAGCTAGTAAGTGTCTGAGGCCACATTTGAATGCAGGAAAATGAGTCTTCCTGACTCCAGGCCTCTAATAATTAAGGCTATGCAACAATGAAACAAGCTGTCTCAGTAAGGAATGAGCTCTCCATCACTGGAAGTGTTAAAGCAGTGCCTGGATGACCATTTACCAGGGACATTGTTGGAGGGATTCCTACACTGGGTTGAAAATTGGACTTGGTGACCTCTAAGATTTTATACTGGGCACCTAGGCAGTACAGTGAATAGAACATTGGGACTGGAGTCAAAAAGACCTGAGTTCAAATCCAGCCTCAGACACTTACTAGCTGAGTGACCCTGGGCGAGTCACCTAACCCTCTTTGCCTCAGTTTCCTCATCTGTAAAATGAAGTGGAGAAGGAAATGGCATACCACTCCAGTATCCTTGCCAAGAAAACCCCAAATGGAGTCACAAAGAGTCGGGCATAACTAAAAACAGCTAAGAACAAGAGATTTTATAATGTTTTGTACCACACATTACAGGTTACAAAATGCCTTGCACAGGACATTACAGGCTACAAAATGCTTGCACTTACACATTTGATCCTCCCTCAGATCCAGTGGGGTATGTTGGGCAGGTCTTACTGTCCCTATCTTCAAATAACAGTCAGAGGCCAAGTATCCCAAGGTCACCTCGCTGACAAAGCTACAGCCCAAACCTAGTGACTTCTCCACTTGGGAGATTTTCCTTTTATGACTCATGAAGGCAGGTTCCAAGTTCAGATAATTCCCAAGGACTGATCCACAGCCTGTGCCTTTCAAATTAAAGTCTAGTGGAGCATGGAAACAGTTATCTGGGCAAACCAAATACATCTACCTTGTACCACACTCAGATAAGCCATGGAAACATTACAGAAGAAGAGTCAATTCTCAGTAGTCTGTAAGTTTCACGATAGTTTTTTCCCCTCCACAATTTGTCCCTTTTTAACAATCTCCTCTGAATACTTACTCTTGGAGCAGCCCGCAGGAGTAATTTTAATTGAGAGAAACTCAACATGTTACCATGGAAACAGCAGCCAATGTGGTCTAACAAGCCTGCTATTTCTCCAGCATTTAAAATTTCAACATATCAAAGGCATAGAGAAAGACAACTCTATAAGGGGCAGAAACAATTTCTCCTAATATAATCTTGAGTGGTATGGGTGGTATGCAAGGAATTGGTCTCAAACTAGGTCAAGTCTAAGAAAACTGTGTATGGAAGTCAAAAATCACAGCCCACAGTTTCTATCCTTTGGCCCTGCCTGAAATGGAGATGAAATTCACAGCTTCTCTGCTTCAACTTTACAAAACTTTCCAATCCCAAAAGAGCATTTACCTGCCTCTGGTTAGAAAATGGGATTGAACAGTAACTAAACATATTCCTCCTAATAAAGTCTTTGGGGTTCAAGATGGCTAGTTAGCTGTTCTCCTTAGCCCACACTGGGGCAGTGGATTGTGGGATAGGAGCCTCCAACATGGGATTTTTGTATTTGCTGAGAGTTTGATAGGTGAAAATGAAGAGTTAGAAAAAGCCTACTGAAAATTCTTGTATTTGTGATTTGTAACAATGAAAGTAACTAATGAAAGAACTTCATCTAGGCCTATACTCATGACTTCTGGAAGCTCGGGAATTCAAAGAAACAAACTCTAGAAAAACATATACTGCAAGCTAACATATTAGGAAGTAAAGTGTGAAAAGTCAAATTCCTACTTAACTTTGTATAGAGCAGCAAATTTAATTAAAAAGAAAGTGAAAAACCAAATGATCAAATTCTTTGAGACAGATATTTATAAAAGATTTCCCAACAAATAACTCATCAAGAGATATGATTAGACAGCTCATAAAAGAAAAAATAAAATTCTCAAAATAACCACCAAAAAAAAGGTTTGAATTGCTCATTCTTAGAGAAATGAAAATTAAAACAATTGTAATACATGACCTCCTTCAGTACCGAAGACCTCTAGCTTCCCAAGTTTGGAACACTTTCTACTAATGCTGAATTCAAGCAAGCTCTTTGAAACATAGTAAACAGACACCTTTAAATAAATTCATTACACATTAGCCAACCTGTAGACAAAACGCCACCTTCTATGCACTAAATAGCTTTAAAAAAGAGTCAAAAATACTTTTTTGCTTTAACAAAGGATAGGAAACTTAGATGGTGCCTTTCATTTGGGAATGGCTGAATAAATTATGACATATAAATGGAATGGAAAATTATTGCTATAAAAATATTAAAAGTATGGGCTCTAGAGAAATTTTAGAGGACTTATTTATATGAACTGAGGTAGACTGAAGTAAGCAGAACCAAAACAATAATTTATACAAGGAGAACAACATTGTAAAGGAAAACAACTGTAAAAAGACTTAAGAACTTGTGATCAACGCAACAATCAATCCTGGCTTCAGAAAACTGATGAAGCTTCCCACCTCTTAGCAGAGGGGCAATGAACCACAGGTGAAGAAGATGACATGAATTTTCAGAAATGACCATTGTGTGAATGCTTTGTAGGACTATGCTGACTTATTACAAGGAAGAGCTCTTTATTTCGAGGAAGGGGGGACAGAATGGGGTAAGCAGTGGTGGGTACTGATGTTGAATAGGAAGAAAAAAAGTCAAAAAAAAGAAAGTCATTTTTAAAAATACACAGAAGAGAGAAGAAGGATATTTATAAGGGATCACCAACAACAGAGCAATATTGAAGCTACTACATTAAACTAGAAATGTACTTGAAAAAAACAAAATATACATAGTGGCCATTCATAGTTTCATCTGAAGTACTCTTTTTGTTTTTATTGTATGGGGAAATGTTTATTGGAGTTTATCAAGTTCATAATAATAAAAAGAAATAAATTTTAAAAAGAATAACCAGTGTTCTATCAGGACTATGCTTTAGATAGTTAATTGAAAGTGAACAGGACTCATCTGTGTAAAAATATTACAGCCCTGCCATTTCTAATAGAAAACATTGATCAGGGATCACTGAACAAACTGTGTGATAGGAATGGAATGAGAAATATGAATAAGACAAATGAATATAGAATCATTTATGTGAAATAATAGAGTGAAGAAAATAGACTTATAACCATATTTATGACTATGACTATGTAAATGACAATACAATATATACATATAGCTATATATATTTAGATACAGATAGCTATAGCTATAGCTGTCCATCTATTTATCTATAAACGTTTGTCCCATTGAAGGTGTTTGACAACATGGCTGAAAACATCATGCTAAAAAGCATGGGAGCACGCACACAGCCTTGCTTCACTTCATTGTTGACTGGGAAAGCATGACAGCATCGTCCACTATCCAGAACGCTCGCAAGCATGCCTTCATGAAATTGACGTACAATACTAATGACATAATTTTCCACAAGCCCTCTTAACTTTGTAATTGATTGTGTGACAGAGGAGACACTGGCACAGAACCACCCATTATGGCGTGCCCTCATCAGAGAAGGCGCTGAGCTCTATGAGCAAAGCAGAATTGAAACAGCACAAAAGAAATGAGAGATCGGGCAG